ATAAAATACTTGTTTTAAACTCGAAAAAAATTCATTTAAACTCGATTTTATTTTATCTCTATAGTTACTTATTAGTTACTTATACAAAATTCCTGCGTTTTGGAGCAACTGATGCAATTGTTCTTCATTAAATACAAATGTGATTGGTTTAAAAAAAAAAAAAGTACGTTTTAACCAATCATATTTGTACTTTTTCACAAATTTTTCCGATCACTTTGTAGCAACTGATGCAATTGTACTCTAAATCATTAATGATTGGTTAAAAAACAGTTTAAACCAATCACTATTTAATAAAATAACAATTGCATCAGTTGCTACAAAACTTCCGCAAAAAACTTTACAAAAAATATAAGAAATGTTATTTATAACCAATCAAATTTGTAGAAAGTTTAGAACAATTGCATCAGTTGCTCCAAATCGTTCAAATTTTACAAAATTCTAATATGCTACCAGATAAAGGTTCTTCGCTCGTAATTTTCGTCGTTGGACTTTGCTTGTAAACTAAAGTTAAAAAAAAAAATGAATTTTTTAGTCTCAAATGCAATTAAGGCTAGACATTTGCCAAATATTCGGAAATATAAAAACCAGTTGACTGAAGAATTAAAAGTTTTAAATAATAAGAGTCCAGTTCAGCCACATAGTCAGTATCTGAAAATACTGAAATGGATCGTTTTATCCCAAAGCAAGAAGATACTAAAGATTATGTTGCTTTAAGGTAAAACCCTATTATTAAAGTTAATGGTATTTTATATTCCTATTAGATCAATTTATCCAGATTTTGGCTTAGAAAAGTTCAAAAAACTTTTTAATACAATTATTTTTCCATTTCGTTCAATTAAAAATCAAGATCAAAATGTTTTAAATATTTTATGGTGTAATACTGATATTATGTCAGTGATGCAAAATAATAATAACTGGACACCGAACCATTTTGTACCAATTATTAAAAAGCCTAAACTAATTTCTAATAATAATAAGAATTTGGCTATAAAAAACGATGCTACTTATCCTTTAAACTTTTTTAGTCCTAAAACTGAAACAAATAAAAAAAAAAAAAACTTGATTCTGCAAAACATGTCAAAATTCAATCTAAAATTAACTTTAAAAAAGACAATGCTTTCATAGAGTTGCCTTTTGAACCTTCTGTAGATTCAAAAATAGTTAAGTCATTAGACTCCAACTCAGTTATTATTCCTTCATATAATGAATTAAATTCTTTGTATGATGTTTCAACATATCTTGTTCAAGGTAAACTTTTAATTGCTGGCAAAGATGATTCTATTTTGTTAGATATGGTAAACAAAGTATTTTGTCCTAATTCTATGTTTGTTTTTTCCAATATCTTTTAATACAAAAAGATCATTTAAATTTGAATGGCTCAGCCAGTTTTCTTGGTTAGCTTATTTTAGCAAAGAAGATGAAGCTTACTGTCTTCCTTGTACTTTGCTAGGTGCTAGTATTCAAAATAAGTCTGGAATATTAAATTTAGTTTTCAAGCCCCATCAAGAGTGGGGTAATGCTGTTCGTGATTATAGAAAACATGAGGAAAATTGTGTTTTACATGAAAAATCTATGCTTTCATTTAATGCATTGCTTTCAAGTTGCAATTCCAAAAGTAATGTTATTGAGGTTGATTTAAATAATTCTCGTTTGTAACTTCTTTCTGATAACCGAAAAAAATTAGTTTCAATAATTAAAACAATAATATTTCTTGGTAGAAACGATCTAGCATTTCGTGGACATCGTGATGATAGCAAATATCATCCTGATATTGGGGAATCTTCTACACAAAAAGTTGGAGTCGGTAACTTCATAGAGCTTTTAAATTTTCGTGTTGATGCTGGTGATCAAGTATTAGCTAATCATCTTTTTTCAAGTCCAAAAAATGCAACCTATATATCAAAAACTACCCAAAACCAACTTATTGATTCTTGTGGGAAAGCAATTGAGGAAGTTTTAATAAAAAATGTCAAGCATTCAATTTTTTTTTCAATTCTTTGTGATGAAGCAGTTGACTGTTCAAATACTGAACAAATGTCACTTGTTTTAAAATATGTAAATTCAAATAATGAGATTTGCGAGGATTTCTTAAGATTTATTGATTGCAAGACTGGTACATCTGGTCTTAGTCTATCTCTAAATGTACTTAATGCACTTCAAGAGTTTGGACTTGATATTCAAAATTGTAGAGGCCAAGGGTATGACAGTGCAGGTTGTATGGCAGGTGAGTATAAAGGAGTTGCTTCTCGAATAAAAGCTCTTAATCGTGAAGCTATATTTTTTCATTGTGCAAGCCATAGACTTAGTTTAGTAGTAGCAGCTGCATGCCAAGTTCAAAAAGTAAAAAATCTTCTTGGCCAAGTAAAAGAAATTTCTTATTTTTTTAACTTATCTCATAAACGTAGTAACTGTCTCAAAAAATATTTAAGTCCAAATCAAGAAAAAATAAAAGATACATGTCGAACAAGATGGGTTCAAAAGCTGAGAGGTGTTGATGTTTTTTTTGATAATTTTATACCTATTATTCATGCTTTAGAGGAGATGGGGTTAAATGAGTCAAAGGAATATAACAGTGAAACTGCTTCCAAATCCTCTTCTTTTTTAAGATTATTAACAGATTTCTCTTTCATTGTAAGTTTAGTTATTACAAAACAATTAATGGATTTTTTTTATGCAATTACTGTAACTCTTCAAACTAAATCTTTTGACATATCCAGACAGTGTTTTGAAATAACTAATCTAAAAAATCTGTTATTAGAAATTAAAAATAAAATTGATATATATCACACTGAATGGTACGCTATCGCTCTTAGTTTGGCCAAAACTCTTGATATACAAGAAGTGAGACCTAGATTGTGTAATGTCCAGGTTTACCGGGATAATTATCCAACAAATACAGTTTGTGACTATTTTAAACATAGCATTACTTCTCCATTAATTGAACATCTTATTAATGAGCTAGATAATAGGTATAAAGGTCTAGCAGCAGTTCCTTCAACTGTACTATCCAGAATACAACTTTAAAAAACCATGGAAATCTGATTTTTATGAATTTTTAAATTTCTATTCATCTGATATGCCTCATTTTACTTCAATACATGCTGAGTTATATTTACGGGAATTATTTTGGATAAACCAGTCAAGTATTCCTTCAACTGTTGCTGGTACTTTAAAGTCCATTGACATGAGAGGTTTCCCAAATATAAGGACAGCATTTATAATTTTAGAAACAATTCCAATAACAACTTGTGAATGTGAAAGAAGTATTTCAGTTATACGTAGGCTAAAAACATACTCCAGAAGTAATATGATTGAGTCTCGCTTTAACTCTTTAGTTAAGAGTTAAAGCGAAACTCTTTCAACATTTTCCAGATGTTGAAAGAGTTATTGACATTTTTTCAAAGTCAGGTGAAAGACGTTTAGACTTAGCTTTTATTTAGTAGTGTACTAACTTTTATTTTACTTTTTTCTAATTTGATTTTTACTAATATTGTGTGTGTGTGTGTGTGTGTGTGTGTGTGTGTGTGTGTGTGTGTGTGTGTGTGTGTATGTATATATATATATATATATATATATATATATATATATATATATATATATATATATATATATATATATATATATATATATATATATATATATATATATATATATATATGTATATATATATATATGTATATATATATATATATATACATATATATATATATATATATATATATATATATATATATATATATATATATATATATATATATATATATATTATATGTATATTAATTATTTATGTAATATAAAATTAATTATGTATATTAATTATATATATTATATATATAATATAAATATATTATGTGTGTGTGTGTATATATATATATATATATATATATATATATATATATATATATATATATATATATATATATATATATATATATATATATATATTTTTAAAATATAGAACTTAAATAAAAAAATATAACAAAAATTATTATAACAAAAAACAGTTAAAAAAAAAAAAAAAAGAATCCAGATATGGAGGGCTAACCTTAGGCAAGATTAATAATATAATATAATATAAGATTAATAATATAAAATAAAATAAAGATAAAATCCAGAAATGGAGGACTAACCTTTATTATTATATTTCTAGTTACTTAACCTAATATTACTTAACCTTAATAAATAGCCTAATAATACTTTACATGACGTGCCTATCAAGAAAAGGAAAGAATCCAGAAATGGAGGGCTTACCTTTGGCAACATTACTTTACATGACGTGCCTATCAAGAAAAGGAAAGAATCCAGAAGTGGAGGGCCAACCTTAGGCAACATTGCTTTACACTACGTGCCTCTCAAGTAAAGGAAAGAATCCAGAAATAAAGGGCTAACCTTGGGCAAAATGACAGTATACAGATGAAGTGCAAAGTCCTATGGCTTACCTTCTCGTTGGTGCACTTTGTTAAGTAAATTAGACTTAAAATTACATGTCTAATTTATGAACAAAATAACCAAGGCAACATTATAACATAGGCAAATAGAGAAGTTGCGGGGAGGGGGGGAAACGTCAATAAAAAAATTTCGCATCACCCATTTAAAATGCTAGATCCGCCCCTGCTACCCTTACAAAAAAACCCAGCGAATTTCCAGTGAAAAAATGTTCCAAAACCCAGCGAACTTCCAGTGATCTTTTCCAGCGAACTTCCAGTGATCTCTAAAGTTCACTGGAAATTTCCAGCGAACTTGTTCCAAAACCCAGCGAACTTCCAGTGATCTTTAAAGATCACTGGAAGTTCGCTGGAAATTTCGAGCGAACTTGTTCCAAAACCCAGCCAACTTCCAGTGAACTTTTCTAGCGAATTTTTGTTTATGTATAAAAATAGATTCGCTGGAAGTTTTTTTAAAAAGGATTTTTTATTTTTGCTATAAAAGTTTCAAAAGTTTGTAAACATTTTAAAATTTTTAAAATTTTAACCAATAAACGCGAAATAAGACAAGTTAAGCGCGATAAAAAAGTAATATTTTTATTTTAAAATATCGAGTTTTATAAATTAAAATACAATGTAGGATTAGATTATCTTAGGTATAATTACAAATTCTCAGAAATTAACTTTAATACAGAATACAATTTTTAACAAGAAACTAAAAAGTTAATTTATTAATTAATGTAAAACATATTTTTTTATAGGCATAAGTAAACGTATTGTTGATCTTTACTTTATATTACGCATGTTTCTATATTTAAAAAGTTTTTTCTCGTTAGCGTTCTCATAAGACAAATTATCACAACGAATCAAAAAGAATTAAGAAATTCGTCAATTCATTTTTTGAAAACCACTTTAGACATTCTTTTCGGTTTGGGTCTTTAGAGCTAAAAAAAAAGAATGCATACAATAAATAAAGCACACACACACACATATATATATATATATATATATATATATATATATATATATATATATATATATATATATATATATTTAAACAATTTTAAAAATGTATTCTACAAAATAGAGTGCTCAATGTTTTTAAAAAAACAGAGCAATTATAAATAAGTAGAAAATTACTTAACAAAAATTTTTTTTCATTTTACACTGTTACATCGAAAACTTTTAAAAAAATTTTCTATCAAGTGACTTTCTACTAATATATATATATATATATATATATATATATATATATATATATATATATATATATATATATATATATATATATATATATATATATATATATATATATATATATATATATATATATATATATATATATATATATATATATATATATATATATATATATTTTTATATATATATATATATATATATATATATATATATATATATATATATATATATATATATATATATATATATATATATATATATATATTCTGGTAAATAAATTTAAAAACTGAAGACAATACAGAGAAAAAATTAATGGACAAATAAACTTGCTACAAATCAATTAAAAATTTTATTACAAATTATGACAAAATAAACCTCCTAATATTAAAATAACAATAATAATGTAGTAAGTTAGTTAGATAAATTTATATTTAGGATTTTCCCATTTAATATGAAGTGCTTCTTTTATTTTTAATTTGTTAATGGTAGAGGCAGTATCCAAAATCTAAAAGCAATCAAAATTAGTAAGTGTTTTACAAACACTAACTAATAATTATATAAAACATAATATTCAAAATAAGACAAAATGTGAAATGATAAGCAAAAATAAAACAGTATAAGATAGATAAAAACATACCAACATATTTTCGCCCAATTAGAATCAATCTTTTTTTATTAATTTATCAATTTCCAACCAATAGCATTTTATCACTTTTATCCTGCATAAAGATAATAATTATAGATAAAATAATAAAAACTTAATTATATATATATATATATATATATATATATATATATATATATATATATATATATATATATATATATATATATATATATATATATATATATATATATAATCAATTATTATAATAACTAAATAATTTTAATTTAAAAACCCAGCAAACTTTCACTGGAAGTTTTCTGGGTTTTTTTTGTAAGGAACTTTACAATTTTTAAACTTAATTTTTTTTTTAAATTTTCAACTGTTTAAATCAACAAAACAAAAATTCATACAGCTCTACTTTTCTGTACTGATATAGATATTAAAATCTGTAAAAAACATAATATTCATTATAAAGCAAAACTTAAACCTGTATATTAGAGAAAAAGAAAAATATTGCAGTAAGTATATCTTATAGGCAATATGATGCTTAGGCATGTTTTTTAGCCCATTTCAAAAAAGTCGAGAACCAAATGGCAGTAGTTACATTTTTTATTCCGAATAAGTGTACTTTGTTTACTTTCTCTGATAACTTATATCATCTAATTCAAATTGTATTTATTAGGATATTTTAGTATAATTTTAGACGGAAAAATTATGAAGTCAGTGGTCTGTTGGTTCTCTACTGACAAATTAGCATAACAAAACAAACAGAATTGCGAAAATTGACTTTAAAAGTATTTTCGTTTGGGTCTTTAAAGCTGAAAAAAAAAAAATGGTTTATACAGTATTTAAAGGACATCAATAACAATTTTATAAAAACATATAATAAATACTGTATAAAATTTATATATATATATATATATATATATATATATATATATATATATATATATATATATATATATATATATATACACACATATACATAATATATATATATATATATATATATATATATATATATATATATATATATATATATATATATATATATATATATATATATATATATATATATATATATATATAGAGAGAGAGAGAGAGAGAGAGAAAGATTTACAATTTTAGTTAAACATAAATAAAAACTGCATTAAAATATAATACCTGCTTTAAAAAAAGCTCTGTATATATATAATAACTGCTTTAAAATAACTCTTTATTATAAAACATATTTTCTTTACCATACAAATCAGAAAACTCATAAAAAAATCTATTAACTAATAATGTGACTTCATTAATTACACTTTCAGATAACACCTTATTGTTCAATGTAAAAACAATATTAGATAAAAGAATAAAATGGTCAAAAAACTGAGGAGGCAAAACATCACATAAAATAACAGGACCATAAAAAACTAAAAAATTAAAAAACTCAATACCTTTCCAATGCTTTATACAACTTAATGATCATCGAGTCTGTCTTATATTGCTTGGCACACTGATTGCAGATAAAAGATTATTTACAACAGTACAGTGTCTTCTAATAGAAAAAATATAACCAGAATAATAACTATCAAATCAGAAAGAAAGCATAGCTTTCATAACACCAAGCTCAATACAGTGCAGATTATTAACAACTGTTCCATTTTCACAATTAAAATTAGGTACTCTTACAAATGTAGAAAAATCTAAAAACCCTTTAATCACATTAATCCAAAAAAAATCTGTATGGTTTCTACAACTCCCATTAACATCAGAAAATGGATAAGTCATACAAGACCTCCTACCTTTTCTAACTCTTACCCCTTGAGAAGAACACCAATGGCAACCATTATAATCATTAAACTACCTACAACAAAAAACCATAGCTCCTGCAATTGTATCACACAAAAAAATAGATACATGAAAAAAAAAACACGAACATTATTAGCTAAGAGTATACCAGTAGTGGATAGTTTAGTAAAAAAATCAACAAAACAAGATAAAAATAATTGAACGTTTGGTTTTTTAAAACTGGACCAGAAACCAAAAAACAAAATATTAGTAATTTGCAATGAATATGGAAAATTATGAATGGATGCTAGCAAAGGCCACAAGGTCCACTTTGATAATTTAAAAACAGGAATTCCATCAGTATTAACAACAAGTCTAATTGTTGTTTGCGCATTTTCTTCAAGACTTGCTAAATGTATCCAATTGTTATCACACATGTTTTTATGCTGTTTGTTTATGTTTAAAATATGAAAATAACTGCATTTCTTATAAAGATAGGATAATGTAAAATATTTCAAACATTTTGTAAATTGCTTATTAGTACTTAAAGCAACTTCACAAATATATATATATATATATATATATATATATATATATATATATATATATATATGTATATATATACATATATATATATATATATATATATATATATATATATATATATATATATATATATATATATATATATATATATAAACTAGTAAAAACATTTATCTAATTTTTATTTTCTTCTACAGCTTGTTTCTCCATCAGTTAGAAAAACAAGCTTTTTTTAAACTTAAATGTTCTCAAAACAACTAAAAAACCTGGCCAGTTTTTCGCAACTAAATATATTTTCTGTGGTCAGTATTCGAGAGCGATCGCTCCCGCTTCTTGACCAAGCCTGTAGTGTAAGCTTTGATATTTTGATTATTACATACTAAAATGTTAATTAACACTCTGACTTTTTGACCGTAATATATGAAAAAGTTTTTAAAATTGTAAAAGTTAAAGCTATGAATAAAGATTTTCATTAAAAATTTATTAATAAATTTGTTCATTCAACTTCTCAGAGCAAACATTAAACTTCTGTAAAGATTTTGGAGTTACAGGTAAATCCCAAAGTTTAATAATATTTTTTGTTTTATTATAAGAAAATGAGAATAAATAATCTACACCAAGATATACACAATTTTTTGTCTCTTCAATCTTTATTTTGACTGGTCATATACGCTATCTTCCTTTTTTGTCTCCAGAGCAGAAATTTAGCCTTCTGCTAAATTTAATCTTGTATGGCTTCTAACAACTTCAATGCCACATATATATTATTGATACCTTTAATAATATATCTTATAATAGCTATATAATCTAAACTATTACAAACAATGAAAAAAAAAATTATACTGTATGACATTTTAAATGTTTGATTTATTTAATAAAGAAGACATTTAAAATGTCTTCTTTATTAAATAAATCGAACATTTGAAATGTTTATAAATAATAATAATAAATTTTATGAAATAATAATAAAATTTAATTAATTAAATTTAATAAAGATTATTAAATAAAACAAACATTTGAAATGCCAATACAGCAATAAATAAAAAAATAACTTTAAGATCTTACACAAAAATAATTTGATTATTGCCTTTATTATTACATTAATAATTTAGATTGTAGTAAAAAATGTTTTAAGCATGTTATTTAAATGTTAACAAATATTTCATTTAAAAAAACAAAACATTAAGTCACGAGAATCTCTTGAAGTTTACTTCTTATAAGAAACCTTTTAAGATTCTTCGAAGAATAAATATAGCTTCTTTTTTTTATTTTTATAATTTAAATAAATGGAAAGATATATAATAGTATCAAAACTTTTTTTTTTTCTGTCAAACGATACCATTTTTAAAAAATGTTTCGAAACAATTTAAAAGTATATAATAATCCGAAACTACATTGGCCGAATATTGGCTACGGTATAAATGTAAAAACGGCGAAATATTAAGCCTAAACTACATTGGCCAAATATTGACCCAACGTAGTACGATAATTGTAGAATTGCAATATTACGCCGAAAAAAAACATTGGCTAAATGTTGGCCCAGTATTGTACGATATTTGCAAAAAACCAATTTGCAAAGTTAAAAACAATACGCCGAAAAAAAAACATTGGCTAAATGTTGGCCCAACGGAATAAAGTTGCCAATGTTAAAACTTACATAGGGCCAATGTAAGCTTGCTGTCTGGGAAAGTTTTAAGGTTAAGTGTGGGTGTTTGAATGCTGGAAATATCAGGGGCAAATAAGCAAAATGTAAGGGAAAAAATCAAGAACAATCAGGGATAAAAAAGCAAAATTTTAGCAAATAATCAGGGAAAATCAGGGAGAAAAAAGCAAAATTTTAGCAAAAAAATCAGGGAAAATCAGGGAATTTTGTTCTTAAATAACGGTGGCAACCTTGTTAACTGAAGAAATGGTGTTACTTAAACTTTGGAGCAGCAAAGTCCCACCAACAAATAGGCAAGCTCTTGCTGACTATCTTCTGGCAATCAACCAGATACTATTGCGTTCTAACCACAGCACTGCCCAGACAGCAACCTTACATTGGCCAAATGTAAGTTTTAACATTGGCAAGTTTATTCCGTTGGGCCAACATTTAGCCAATGTTTTTTTTCGGCGTATTATTTTTAACTTTGCAAATTAGTTTTTTGCAAATATTGTACAATATTGGGCCAACATTTAGCCAATGTTTTTTTTTCGCAATTCTACAAATTGGTTTTCGTACTACGTTGGGCCAATATTTGGCCAATGTAGTTTAGGCTTAATATTTTGCTATAAAAATCTGTTCTTACATTTATACCGTTGGCCAATGTAGTATATTCCTTAAAGGCGAGTTTTCACTCATCAAGGGACGGTAAAAAAAATCACGTGGGCATGCGTAGTATAAGTTTTAATATGTCTGCGCATGCTCACGTAATTATTTTTCCCTTTCCTATCCCGTTCCCGATGAGTGGAAACTCACCTTTAAATTTGTTTCGAAACATTTGTAAAAATGGTATCGTTTGACAGAATAAAAAAAGGTTTTGTTTTCATTTTTTTTTTTTAAATTATAAAAATAAGAAGCTATATTTATTAATCTTCTAAGAATCTTAAAAAATTCCTTATAAGAAATAAAATTCAAGAGATTCTCGTGACTTGATGTTTTGTTTTTTTAAATAATGAAATATTTGTTAACATTTAAAATAATATGCTGAAAACATTTTTTACTACA